ACCACCACAACCACTACCACTGCCACCACCACCACTACCACTACCACCACCACCACAACCATTGCCACTACCACCACCACCACAATATCAGTATCCTATGGAAAGTCCTTATCCTTATGTTGAAGCAGCTTCACATAACTACATGTACCAGCGATCTCCTCCAGTTTACCCACCAAAAGAAGAGGTGGTATGGCTAACAGGAAATATGTGACTCGCAATACAACCTTACCACCAATTTCGGAATTAGCTGAAAAATGGTGGACCGAGGAGGGTGAATATCTGACGGGTCCTGAACGGTACAATTTTGACTTTCCGGATAATACAGTTATTCCGCACTCAATTCCAACACCATTCCAAGCAACTTCTGTGACACCTCCTGTAGAAGTGGCGCGAAGTAGCGATGATGATGAATTTCTCCACGAAATTGAGAAAGTGGCTATTGATCTAGGTTATATAGAGAACAGTGCTTTCAAAGAAAGCGGTGAAACGGCAAGCGTTAAAAGTGAAGATAAGTTCATGGATTCTTCCGGTTGTGGCGATTCAGTTTCATACACGGCAGCAGCAATCGTCTTTATCTATGGTGATAAGATGTTCGTTGGTAGTATTGGCGATTCGAGGTGATCCAATTTATCTCTTACATTCTTGAGATTTTTAAACCAAATTTACAATTTGTAATCAATTTTTTAATTTTTATTCTTTGAATTCTGCACTGTTCTAACATAAAAAATATGCAGTTTAATATCTTTTGAGGTTTCATCCTTTTGTTCGAGAAAAGTAACACGAAATGAAATTACGTTGAAATAATCCCTGATTTATTTTGCCTTAATAACTTAATCAATTGCTATTTCATTGAGTTACTTCCTCCGGCCGTCTTCCCATTACTTTTAACTTTAAATTAAATCCATCCCAGAATGGTTCATTCTTTCTGACTTTCTAACCTTTAAGAAAATCGTAATCAAAGTGTGTCGTTCCTCTTGAGCAAGCATGTTGCATGACATATCTTGAGTAGATCATAATGTAAGAGATGGCCATTGTCATTGCATTATATTTTTTCATATTCCCATATTTTTGCCATCCTTTTGTCTTTTCTACTTCATACGTCTTTTTTTTTTCTTTTTCTAAAAGAAATAATGGTAGTAAGGAAACTATCCATTGTAATAAATCGTTCATTTAGGATTGTTCTGATGCGCCAAAAGTGTCATTATCTCGATGTGATGTATTTGAATGAGCCACCACTTGCTTGGTATCCTGTAAGTTGGATCTTTCCATCAATTTCTTTTATCCACCAATATTTCCCGCTCTCCTACCAAAATTTTTGATGTTTTTTTACTGGGATTTCTTTTCGCCCGTTAATTTTTATTAATGATTTTCTGTTAATTTTCTCGACTTGTTTATCTTTCGCAAATGAATTTGTTTAATGCCTAATTTTAGATTGCAGCAGCAAAAAATTCATACTTCAAAGACAAGCATTACATTCTATTTCAAGAGCCAATCATTCGTGGTGGATTTCTGGTGAGTAGTATATTGCTACAGTAAGCGTTACTGTAAATTGAAGATATCAAATATTTTTATGGAATGTCAGAATAGATTACCAAAGACTTCTCTACCTTAGGATGTAATTTTAGATTAATGAGTTTTCGATCTTTCTTTTGATGTTCAATGAAGGTGTCATTACAAACATGTTGAATTTGAATGAGTATCACCGAACTTCGAATGAAATAAACCGAAGCGCTGTCCAAATGGTCATCAAAATTCTTGAAAAATATCCTGAAGGAGGTTTAACTTTTATTTCGTTTGCATTCTATTTGTGACAAATTTGTTATTGTAGAAAAAAGAGCATATTTTTAAGGCTATATTTTAAAAGATTACATTAATGGCATCAGTTTTTGTTTGCTCAAAAATAATGTGACTTGAGAAGAGGGCTCGTTTTCCTTTTCAGTAAGCTTAGTTATATGTTTCAAAGCATCGGACAATTTCTTAATGCTCATCTGGTAAATTAAGTTAACCAGAAAGAGAGCCGTTATTGAAAACAGAAAGTTTCTATAATTAAACTGGCCAGAAAGGAAGTTAAATTGAAGTTAGTTATGAGATAATTCAAGAAAGCGATTGAGAGATTGTTTTCAGATTTTGTTTTTCAGATATTGCGCAAAAATTTGTAGCACATATCAAGCACAGTTGCAATCGCAAATACAGACCGGTTGCTGAATTCAGTACTGTTAAGCGAGAGGGAATGTCATTTTTGTTTGCAGACCTCCGACAACTAATTCCAACAAAGCCAGAATACGATCAGCTTCTGAGGACTTATCAACCAAAGGTTCACTTATCTTTCTGGTTTTACCAAATCCTATAACTTTATCACATAAGCTTTGTTTTTTAAATCTTGTTCACCCTTTACATTCGAACGTTAGACGGAAAAATGATGAGAACGGTGTTTGTTCAGTTTCTTCCAAAAATGAAATTTTGTTTTGCACAACCAGTGGGATCATCTGTTTAAAATACTATAACGACATGCAGAATGTTTCACAAGCAATCACTCTCTTCTCTTCGTGAGGGGAATTGTCGCGAGATCTGGAGTGAAAGTTATTGTTCGGTATGACAGTATTTTGGAATGATAAATCTTATCTGGCCTGCAACATATCTACCTCAAGCGACGTTTCAGCAAATCAAAATTTCAACAAGCTGTTAAGCAAGTGAAAATTGCATTCAGTCAGAAGTATATCGTTTTAGCCACTTACTGCTAAGAAAGTACCTGAATTTTGCCTTGATGGTTGGAAAAAAAAAAATTTTAACAGAGGAAAATTCCTTGAACATAATGAAGGGTGGTTTTTGTTGCATTAGAATGAACGGACGATTTTAGCCAGATATTTCGGAATCAACGATAGAGGCGTATCCAAGAATGACGGAATACTCAAGCCCGCTGGAAGATAATGAGGAAGCAATGAATAATGCTCTATCGATGAACAAAGTATACGATATGTTTCAAGAAATATTCGATCGTGAGGAAAGTGAACGTCGAGCAATGAACAGTGCTCCTTCTGCTCCTCCTGTGATAAATGAAAATACGTGGGTGTTTCTGAGAAGTGATCAGAACTAAATGTGAAGTTGAGATCTGAGAAGCTTTCAGGAAATTTGCAGAACTCTTCTGTTGTTACATACACTGTTTAATTGATCTTTCTTGTCTTTCCTTAATTACCTCATTCTAAGGACTGATCATTGATCATTATTGGTGCATTCTGTTGTTATTTCTCTATGCTAACATTTCCAAAAACGCACATTTTCTTTACTATTCGTAACAATTTCCACAGTATTCTTCTCTTTCGAGCTTTTGCATGAAATATTAAAATCAGACTGTGAATGTGAAAGTTTGAACGGAGAAGAGAAGAAGGAGAGGGAGAGAGAGGGAGAAAGAGAATGAGTGGATTTCTTATATCGTGTGACTATTTGCAGTCCGGTTCCGTTGGAAAAGACTGTTTTCAAAATAAGAGCACTTCATGAGAATAATTACTCCAAGTTAGATGGGTCAAATATCCCATAATTGAGCTCGTGATTGCTGTGTTATAGCAAGATAGCAATCTATTGATTGTGTAAATCAATTAGTAACGAAATTCAATATATATTAGTACAAAATACAAAATGTACCTCTGACAGATACGGAATAATTCAGTGTTTCATTTATGGTAAATACTTGGTTTATTCTTAATTATGAATAGCGCCTAATTATCTGCATTTATATCCCAAATTTTTATTGGTAAAATTGAGCACATATAGTTGCCAGCACAATAAAATTGAAGCCTAACTGTTAAAGTCATTAAGTATAATGCTTGGATGGCTGGGAGCAAGAACTATTTCAATATCCATTACTGCTATGTGGACATGCATGGTATATCATGTCTTGTAATGCACTGAATGATTGAACAATCATAAAATTATCAAAAATACATTCGTTTTCTTTTTTAACAGCCACGTGGTCTCATGTAACATATTGTGTGGTCCGCTGTTTTAGCTGTCTTGTATTACTTCAGAGTTTGAACTCATTTGTTAAAGCATGTTGCGCGGTCCACTGTACTGCTTATCCTTTCTTGTGTTGCTTTCAATAACTTCGCCAGTTACGTGGGTCATTGTAATGTCAATTATTTTTGTTTTTTTTTCTTTTTTTCGATATTCTATCGTTCCTTTTGTTTTTCAATCATATTCGTTAAAACTTTTATTATCACCTCCGAGTTTATTTGCATCCTGACATAATAGGAAATGGTGAATTTATCACGTTTTCAACGATACAAAATGTCAAGTCTTCCAGGAACGTCGGAGCTGTTGATTACAGTTTTAAAGCATTTATACACATCGGTTTTCCTGTGCAAGTATTCCATGGAAAGAATACTCATAACAATAAAATTATCAATCACTCATTACAAATATCATCTTCACTTATTAAAGCACCCGGAAACGGCAAAAGAAGCATAGGTCTGGAAGCGGCAATGTAGCATCAATAAAAGTTTTGAGAGGATTTGGCCGAATAATATGTAACGGCAGTTTCTTGAAAAAATTGAATTAGATACATGAAGATGTGTGCAAAATGCCATTTCCTTACAAATGCTCTTTCAAATCCAATATACAACAGTATTTACAAAAGCTAAGCTAAAAGTAAAATTATTGCAATACAGTATGTACACCGTCGAAATATTACACCCAGGAATGATACGTTGATATCATAGATGAAGACCTTCCTAGGAATAATTGAAATTTTGGGAAAACAAAGATGATGTATTCTAACACCACCAACTGTTCAAATTATTATGATTTTTCTGGCAAGAACCTGGGAGACGTATATTCCATGTATATTGTGTATTCGATCCAGACTTCGATCTATGGAATTACTGTAGATACAAGTTAGGTCATCATTCATGAGTGTTACAGGTGGTTGTTAGGCGATGTGCTAGCACCGATTATCGTATGTTAATTATGTTCCATTCAATCTCACTCTGCAATTCTAATATTTTTAAAAATGGTATTTACTAAAACTTAAATTTTGAAAATTCGCATAACCGATACTTTCACATACATTACTGTGTGGTACATAGCTTTACCATAATTCTGTAGTCGGATGATGAGATAAGTGAAATTAACCACCGGTGTTGCTTATGCTTTTGAATGTTTGCTTTACAGCACCCTGAATAAGCTTACTAGCGAATTCTTCATCCAGTCGAAAATATGTTTGTAATTTCAGATAGCGATCGTGCAATGACAACCTATTATAAATTCATCCGTTAGTCATCCAGTTAGAAGGTATGATGGTTTTTTGGTTTGAATTTCAATTTTCGAGACTAGTACGATCAAGCATGGTCAATACCTCTTGCACCTATTTAATACCAAACATCCTTGCAACACGAATGAACAAGACGAAAATATTTCCACTGCCCATTAAATAATAACAAACAACAAACTTGGGATTTTTTAAGATGATTCCTCTCATAGTTGGTACAATGATACCCACTCGCAGGATATCAGTAAGTAACTGCTCCAAGAATTCAGCACCAAAAAGCCCGAGATCACCAAATGTTGCTTGATCGACATCACGAACACGAGATTCAAGCAATTTGAAGTCTAAATTTTCGATCGAGACATTTCCGATGATCATTGTTCGATTTAACCATAAATTAATGCTGGATGTCATCTTCGTATCAGCTCTTATGATCTGCAGTTGGATAGTCGAATATTATGTGTGTTCTTTTTTAGTTTTTGTAGTTTGGAATCCAATCAAATTCACTTACAAAATTTTACATTTAAATTCGAAAACATTCATATCTCAATTCCCCTTTTCTAATCAAATTGCTATTCGGCCAGAAAAAATTAGATATCTTTTTTCTAAACCGTTAAGTCTAACTACCAGTTATGATCCGACAGAAGTTTAGGATGTAGAAAAATGCCTAGCTGTCGAATCATTCCGCTTACCCATTGACCACGTGTTAGGCACAAACTCACCATTAGTTTGAACTGCGTCGAATTTCGCGGTCTAACAAACATATTCATACTGCCATAAAGTCGAAATCGTGCTCGATTTTCCACAAAAACAAGCAATGGTGACTAGAATTATTTTTCGAAAAATCTATTAATTAACAGCACTTTGATACTTACTTTGCCTCCAAAGCTATCCAATAAATTAGTGTAGCGAAAACTCTAATAGCAATAAAACCATACATCAAGTAAGGTTGTCATTTTAAGGAGAATGAGATAAATCACATTGAATTTCAAATCAGCATAAAAATAGACTAGAGGAAAGAAATAATCGAAAATAATGTTTTCATAGTTCACCTTTCTGGTCGAAAAATGGATCTCAACTTCGCGATCCGGGAACTGACGAGACAGTTCACCAAGGTATTCACCAATGCAATAGCCACTCTCACAAGTGGTCAGCAGAAGGGTTTTAAGTTCTGGACTAGATTCAGGACCAACGATAAAATCCATGTATTTTTGTTTATATGCATGAAACAATAGCGAATTGACTATGTAATCTGTTGCGATAAATTCCGCCATATGAACACCTGAAAAAGGAAATTTTCCTTTTCAGATATTCGATTTTATCCATTTTACTTGAGAGTGAATTGACAAACTTTCCGTCTTTTTTTTTCATATAAAGTATGGTAGTGCATGAACTAACTTAATTTACTAATTAAGTTGTCAGTAGAAATTTGACATGTGTTACTGAAGAATTAGTTAACTCACCATTTGGTGGAGGAATGTATATATTCGGAGGATGAAAAGGAGTCCCTCCGTAACCATTCCTGAAAAAAAGCAAAATATTTTATCATTTCCTAAATAATTGCTAAAAAAAGCATAAAAACTAGTTTAAAAGGATTTAATATCTTTTTTAATACCAGAAAGGATTACAAAGATAATTGTACAAAATGTTTTTTTCTGGTACTTAATGGTAAGTGGAATGATTAAAGGTTCAGCGAACCTAATTGATGTAATATCCGCTAGATTGTCTAATATATGTACAACCTGGAGATGAACACATTTCAAAGTACCGTTCACTCAGTTCTCGAGAGTAACTTAACAAACCGGCCGGTAAATCTCCAATTAAGGTCCTTATTATTTGAAAAAAGTTGCAATTGGGTTTTTAGAAGCTACTTTCATTTAATTTTAAAGAAGTTTAAACTGACCAAGAAATTTCACCCCGTGATAACATCTCAATAGTCCCATGTGCGATGAGTGGGTCATGAATGAGTCGGTAGTCCAAGATAAGACTTTTCTGTCGTAAATGATTAATAATGTTTAATAAAGTAATATTTTTAGCGCCAATTTCGCCGAACTTGCTAAGCGATTTTCTTGCTGGCAAATCAAAAGATATTCCAAATATATCGACCGAATTTTCGTTGATAGGTATCTAAACAGTCGCCTTTTTCAAAAATTAAGTTTTTAGTTTTGATAGCATCACAGAGCAATGACTGAAAAGATTGCAGGATGAAAAATCCTGTAACACTAGAGGATATGTTAGAGGATTTTTCTCATGATTATTGTACTAGTTTGGAAAATAACAGCATGATATTAGTCAAACAGCTTACTTGATAATTCGTTGTGTTTATTTGCTTCCAGTACATTTCTAGCTCTGACTGAACATAACTCAATTTCAGTATTATTGATTAAAATGAAAACATTACCTGAAGAGGCATTGTTGCTAATATGTAATTCATATCTTTATTAATCATATTCTTTATCATTTGGCATATACGATCCTCTACAATTGGTTTGAAATGAGCGATTATGAAAGCTGAAATATGATTTATCTATTAATGGGTTGAAAAAATAGCTGAAATATGATTTATCTATTAATGGGTTGAAAAAATAGCTGAAATATGATTTATCTATTAATGGGTTGAAAAAACAAAAGTGAGGAATAAAATCTGACAGCCATTGTTAAGCTAATATGACCGAACAAAGTTCCAAATTGTCCACGAATCGGTATTGCTGGGACTAGAAATAAATGATGGGCATGACATTTTCCCCTTATACCTTTGAAAGTGTTGATAAAGAAATCTGTGATAACTCCAGTGTTTCGGACATTTAAATCAACATAGCCAACATTAGCCCGGCAATACGTAGATTGCACCATTGGAGCACCAGCTCTCGTTCTACAAATTTGTAAAATTGAAAATTGAAGTTTTGAAACTATAATATGCTTGCAATTTTACAATATATCCAAAACTGGTGACGATGATCGCGCATCAAATGTAAAATAAGCTAATATAAACGAACTTAGCTAATCTGACAGCCATTGTTAAGCTTACATGACCGAATAAAGTTTCAAATTGTCCACGAATCGGTACTGCTGGAATCAGAAATGGTCCAGTGAATATTGCTTCGAATTCGCCTCCTGCTCTAAATATATTACTTCAAAGCAGTAGTACCGGAAAATGAATCCATGCGTGATCTAATTTCTAGGGAACAATCCATCCGTCATTATTTGGCAGTTAATAAAAGAATAAATTACATTCATTCTATTTCAGACCTGATATGCATTTTAGCCATTGACCATGTAAACATATCTGGTGGTGATAATTCCAGACTGTACTCCGATGGTGACCAATACTTTGAAACATATGTATCATATATCGAAACCTGAAATAAAGAGGTGAGAGTATTCGTCATTTTTGAAAATTTTAACAAATATCTCTAAAAGAAATACTAATATCACAATTATCAAATTGTTCGATTGTTCAGGATAATGTGTTTTCCTGTAACGGTAGACCATAATGATTTGAAAAAAAGAAAATTCGTCAGAAAATGCGCGATTTTCAATTTACCTGCAAGTCAAAATGTTAGTCGTTTAACGAAAGTATATATTTATTTCCTGTTAGAAGTGGCGCATACCAAATGATGAAAGATGAGTAGTTGAGAGTTATTTCGCACAGCAGTGTGCTGCGATGAACGTTCTACCAAACTGGGAAATTTTTATATTCTCCTATTCATCTATCGACTTTGAAAAATGATGTAGCAGACAAAACGGTAGTCATTGAAAAGAAAAAAATAGTCATTAAGCTAGTGATTAAATAATCAATAAATCAGCGTGGCTGACCAGTATTATTCAATTTTCTACTCTATAAAGATCCACTATATGTATAGACAGATATACAGATAGAAATATGTTTACCTGACCAGCTTCAATAAGTTGTGTAATAGTCGGTAATTGAATTCGCAATATTTCATCGTTCACAATTTTCATGCCTATTTCACGTAGGTATGCGAGACCAGAAGACATTAATCTCATGTGGATACCAGGATTTTGGACATTCGTATTTGTCTGGAGCAAGAATTTTAAATCAAAAGGGATTTGACATAGTTCTGAAATTTGTGACAGCATGTATGTCTCACCCTTTGTGGTGTTTTGGATATCGTTGTTATCACAACTGATCACACTAAATCAGTTATGAATGGTTGTAATTCTACTAAAAAATGAATTCATGTGTTTAAAAAAAGCTTGATAAAAAAGAGATACAGGTAGTGAAAGGATATGTAAAGTATTAAAAATATTGTATATTACCAGTAGCAGCATTGATACATTGTCATTCCCAGATACTCGTGTATCCAAAATTGTAAAAAGTAAGGTAGAAATCACAAAATACATCATCACATTCCTGAAATTACCAAGTTATCCACTATAAATGGATACGATTAGCGGAAAAAAAAAAGAAAGAAAAACAGTTTCGCACGGAAGTTGTGAAACTGCTTTTCTTTTTTTCTTCAGATACAAAAGGTCATATTATGAGTATGTAATGAAAGGAAGCATAACACATAATATGTCCAATGCTATCCATCTGGACTACTGCAAATAAAAACTCTGCAAAAAAAAAAAAAAAATGTTTAAAAACAAGTTTTATACAATGAAATAGCAGAAATGATAATTGATGGCATTATTGACAGATGGATTATTATTAGAAGATAAAAGCACCTCTGCTGTGAGAAAAGATATATCAGTATTCTAACAAATATCGTTACCATCAACAATATCAGGAAGATCATTGTTAAAAGCTGTTTAAGGTAGCATTATGTCAGGTTGATTGTTCAACGCGAACATATATCAACGTCAAGGTTTTCTCTCTTCCAGTCGGCCGATTTCATCTCGTTTGATTCCATTCCATTTCATTTCTTGTGATGATGAGTGTGGATGGATGGATGAACAGGCACACATCGTACAATGCATGAATGGTTCTGTTGCGGTGTGTATCCGTCCGAACAGGTTGTGGATAAATACATCATTATCAGGCTGGCTCATTCTCATGCATCACTCATAACATTTATTTCAAGTTTTATCGTTCAATATAGTTTTTTGATAAGAAAAATGTATATACAGAGGAAATTGACAGCCTTAATTAGTGAATGAATTATGCTTCAAAATTATTCGATGGCATACAATGTAAACCTTTATTGCAGATATTCTTGTATGATCATGTTAAGCATGTCACCGCTAAACTTGAAAATACATTAGGCTGATTGGTGGAACAGGCTTAGTAAATTCTATCTTACAAAGCGCAGTTGTTTTTGATAGGAACAGTAATATACATATAATAAAGATATCTTTTACGCATGCACTTAAATTTTCCAACAGAGATAGTGTTTCATCTTCATTTGAATGAAGGAATTCGTTGCGATGGCCTTCACAACGATTTAATCAATCAGCACTCTCATAATTTTCGCCTAATTTCATCCATTTCTTAATAAATGCAAATAAATGATGATAACATAGCATAATCAATTACTACTACTATTAACAGCCTAATCAATGGGTGGGTTAAAATATAATTATTTGAACGGTTAACACTGTCAACAAATACCCAATCATATCCATCATATCAAAATGCCATCAACGAAAGGTGCGTTGCCGTTGAATGTGCTGATAATTTTGAAAATGCTCGTGGAAAACACAGTTTTGCAGCGAACAACCATTGATAGAATAGTGAAGCAAGCAAGGGAAGGACTATTTTATAAGCCATTTCAGATTTCCATTATCTTTCTTAATCATTCCTCTTTTATTTAGAAAATCCTGTTAATTTTTCTTTGCAATGAAAAACAAGCTTTGTAATCACCGTATGAAGCATCAACTCTAATTCAATTTTACCGCTGTCAATGTTCTCAGTCTTCGTTTCAGAGAGCGCTTTTTATCATTTTAATAACAGCTGCACATCGTCATTGGTTGTGATTGTATATTGTGAAAGATGCAATGAATCATTAAGTGGATCAAAAATAATATCGTTTTTACAAAGAGCTAATCAGATGGTTAAGCTTAATTTTAATGTAAAAAGCACTTGCAATATTTGTGTTTTTGCATTATTGTATAATTTAAAATGATTTGAAATAAAATTGATAAACGATTTTAGATTAGATAAAAAAAGAAGAAATTAATTCAAGATTTTTCGAAATATTTCATAAATTAACCGATGTAAAATATATTACAAGTACAACATATCATTGCGATATCCTTTGCTGGAATAAAATTGCTGTCATTACTGTTGTTTGATTGTTACCATTATTGGTGAAACTTGATAGATAAAATCAGTTATAATTAGATTTCGGTAAGAGTGTATTATAAAAATGTAGCAAAATTAATTAAACTTCGAAGTATTTATGTGTTAATATAAATTAATTTAACCGATAACTTTTTCAGTTGGATTCATGTATTTGTACGAGTAGAAGGAATTACTCGACTTCCTTCAACGTACACCTCAAACTATATTATTTGTCAGTAAACAAGAACTGACAATTTCAGCAAGTTTTTCTTTATTTTCTTTTTTTTTCGTTGAGTTGATTAGAGTTCGCTGAAGGCTATTATTGATCTTTACACAATCGAGTTTTTATAATTTAGAAATAGCTTTTTTGCTCGGTATTCTACTCATTTCATTAATTTATTTCCTTATACTTGCTTTCGGTCACCACAATTAATTATACATTTCAGTTTTTTCCTGAAATTCATCCAAAATACATGCTTATATTACTGTCACACTTACTGTTTCACGAAACTTTCGTAAAATATTACACTTGAGAAAAGGTCTAGAAAAAAGTTTGTGGGATTAAAGAAAACCAAAAGTCATAAGCATTTCAGGACTCTGTCTCAAAGTATTAGAAACTGAATGAACAATATTTATGCCATGCCATTGTAACTGAATTGGTTATAATAAAAAAAAGAAAAAAGAACTGGTGTAAAAGATCAGATTAATGTTGATAAGCAAAATATGTCAAGCTTTTATGCTATGTCTGCTAGATGTGAAATTTTTTTTAAACATCTGTGATCGCCTTTCATTATCAGGGAAATTTTGTGCCCCAAAAATTTAAGGTGTTTAAATTTTGGAAAGTACTTCAAGAAGAATTACACATAAAATTTGTCAAATCTTCTAATTCAACCGAATTTAATTGCATGATGATGAAAATCGTTAGGATTTACTACCTTTTTTCGAAGATAACGGTAATGTTGAAACATAGGAAGGATTTGAATAAAATACTTCAACATCACCACTGATAAACTTCTTCATATTTTAGCAGATAAAGACTTGAGAAGGAAGAAAATTTAATTAATGATTTAATCACTTGTGGAACTATGATGACAAATCACTTATGAAATTATAACAACAATTTATCGATAACACCCAGTAACATAATATCAGATAACATGGCACATTGGTATAAATAGTCACTTTGTTCTCCAAATCACTTCATTTTAATAATAGCACAACATTATTAGGTACTTTCTGCATTCACCTGTACAATCATCTTCTTCAATCCATCTATTTGGTTAAAATTTTTTTTCTGGTTATCAGCTTGCTTAGAACAACATAGCAAACACATGTCAATTACAAAAAAACTTAACCGATGAACTTTTTAAGGTATGTTGATAGTACCAAAGATAACAGGTTAGATTAAATTGTGTTTTTGCGTCAAATGCATGTAATTTTGTATACAGAGAACGTTTTGGATGAAAGAGATAGGAGAAATGAGAAAGAGATCATTTGTGCTTCGCAAACACTGCCTATATTAATTAATAAGCAGCAATCAAAAAGTAATATGAAAAGGTAAAGAAATATTCACAAAATGATATTATACAATAATACAAACCAGTGTCAAATAAAGATATTTTGAAATGAATTAAAAGAAATGATTTTTAGGAATTTGAATACAGGTTGTCTGAGAAATTCGGACACTAGGATACGTACAAAAAAACAAATAGATTTTGCTTGATGACCATTTAAATATGAGGATATTTTATCATTCCAAACTTACTTATTTAGATACATAATCTTGATACAATATCATCCGTATCACGTTTCGTTTAAATTGACATACCAATAAGCGCTTAATAATGAATGATAGCTATCAGAAACATGCTTTATAATAAACAATCAATCAAATAAAAACTACACTTCCAAAAGTTGTGGGGAAATTGAAGGAAGTAATTAAAAATGGTAAAAATGATTAGTTTCAAAGTGAATATTTTAATAACACTATGTATATGTATTTTCGTGGAAATGCAGGAGTTTTTCGGACGAATCTGTGGATTAAAGTGTGAATGTCTTCGAAACTTATCAAATACAGTATTATCTACTTAAAAAAGGCAAGTTATTCTAGGCAAGAAGAACAGTTAATAACAAGGAAATGCTCATTATAATGGAAATTTGAAGCAATATGTGAGTCATAAATTTGTCGTCATTTGAGATTTCAGCTGCTTCTTTTAAAAATTTCTTTCCAGAAAACATTCATTTCCCAAGCTAAGCTATAAAAGTGAGGCCCTGAACTTTCAACCGAACAAATCTGCAGTTATATTTTGAGCAGTACAGATGTGGTTTTGAAATAAATTTATAAACTTGGAGCATTAAAAGAATGGGATGATAAATTATTGAAAGCATTTCTGTAGAATGAAATGATTCCAGCTAATATTGTACTTTATGTTTCTTTTTTCCCTTCGGCTAAAAGATCCATTGTTCAATATCACTTGAAAAAAAAAATTATTAGAAGCAAACTATTTCATGCAAAGTTTTATAGAAGCTTACTTTTGCAAATCCTGAATTTTGTTGATCGAAAAAGAATAGATCTGTTGGCAGAACAAAAAAAAAGGAGAAAATGGAATATGCATCTTTGGCAAAAACGATGAAATTTTCCCCATCCTTAATTGCTTATGACATTTTCAAGATGATGAGTTGTTTTTAAATTCGCATTCCATACATTCGTGCTGAACCACGTAATCCTTAAATTATAAAGAGATATTCAACTATATACATGAATACATGAAACTGTATTATAACCGTAAAATATGTCAATTTTACATTGTAAACATTGGCTTAATTGTCATATTCACGTGATCAGATAAATACCTGTCAATGAACGAAAAACATTCCATGTATATGACATTATGAAATCAGACTCAGACTCATCATTTCATGAAATAATCTTTGGCATCTCTGGCATGACACATGACACAGGATGTTCACACGTCCATTTTTTACGGGAAAGGAAGTGTGACAGATGAAGTATAGAAGTAGTTTGGATAAGATGCCATTTGAAGAATTAAAATTTCTCTTTCAAATGACTCACTCAGAATAGCATTGTAGATCTTCTTCCGAGCACCCATTGTTGAAACAC